TTTGAAACACAATTAGAAGGTCATCCAATTTCCAAGGGGAAGTCAAAAGTCATGCCTTCTGACATGTTGGAGATAACGCATCATTATGTGTTATTCAATTATCCAAAAGTGGTACCATATATTGAGTAAGTGTAAAGGCACCGAAAATTGTTAATATATAATTTAATTTCATAAACTAGCTTAATATTTTGCTTTTCGTATTTGTTTTTCATATAGAATTCATTTGAAAGAGCTTGAGTGTTTGGACAAGCGTCTCTTAAGGAATAAAAATGAACTATTAAGGAAACATATAGAGACTTTTTCTGCATGGCTCACTAATAAAGTACAATTTTTGGTGTACAGTGATCACTACCTCTATCACCACCACATACACCACATCACCGCCACTACCACCGCGGTGGTGGAGAAGGTGGCAGTGGTGGTGTAGGTGGTGGTTGGCGGCGGTACGTGGCGGTGTAGGTGGTGGTTAGTTGCGGTACGTGGAGGTGGTAGTGTTGTTGTGGTGCAGTGGTGGCAATGATAGTGTAGGTGGCGATGATGTGGTGTATGTGGCGGCGATAGAGGTAGTGATCACTGTACACAAAAATTTTTGCATCCAGAAATTCACAAACGAAAATAAATACAATAAACAATAATTTTATTAAATATCAAAGAAAATGAGTACAGTTCTCTGTTGGCGATTCTATTATAATCTAGAATCTCCCTCTGATTTAATCTCCTAAGAACGTCGGCGCAAGGTCTTTGAAAGCTTGATCTTAGGCAGGGATTGAACTGTATTTGAGTTCTTCAAAATTGAAGAAAACTCAAATAGGTTTTTGAACGAGGGTCGGTGAGGCTTAATCTTGAACGGTGAGTTGAAGGCCTTGGATGAAGAACGGTGTGGCATAGGTGTGGCACACTTATTGTTCTTCATCTTCAGAAACCTTCAGAATTTTTGGCAATGTTGACCTCCTCCCTGGGCCCTGTCTGAAAGGCTCGGGAAACCAAAATTCGCTCCCCTATTAGGTCCAGAACTCTGAATTAAGGGTGTAGGTGGTGGTGCCCTAAAACCTGGTTAAACTGGAGTGAACTGATTAGGATGTGGCTGCGGTCATGTCACACCACGAGTATTCTATCTTTAAGGGCAATCCCTCACCACATGACCTAGTTGGCCACACCGATGGCAAGTCCTGTGATCTCTGTCTTGTGTCGATGTAACTATGGGCACTCTGACCGATAATAACCTGTGACGGCCCAAGTTTTTCAACCCGATGCATCAGTGATGAACCGAAAGTTGACCCGATAACGGATTTAAAATATGGAAGCGAAAGATAAAACCAAAGTCTATAGAGATATAAACCATCCCCAAGACACCAATGTAACTTTCCATGAAGTCACAGAGCTCAAAGAAATAACCGGAAGTGAAAACTAACATGAAAAGGGTCAAATGGTACCCTATGGCACCAATGACAACCAAAGGGGCAAAGTCTAGTTCAAACTAGACCACGTACACCAAAACTGAAAAAGAGACTTTAAGCCTCACTTGAATCCCCCATTGCATGATCAAACTTAATTATATGCAAGTGTGTGATGATGTGAACATACACGCAAGTGTAAAACAACATTTTTAAACATGCTGAAATGGCCTATGGCCTTATTACAATTCATTTACAACATTTAACATGTCAAACCTCTAAGTTGGAAAAATTACATTTCATAGGCAAAACTTAAACATGCTAACACTTGTATGTGAACAAGAATGTTTCTAAAGAAACTTCAATTCTGCAAATCACCAAAGTAAGTGCAAATCTCCAATCTTGTATCCTGTACCTGAAATATGCCCCAGTAACTTTGGGGTGAGCAATATAAAGCTACTCGTAGGAAATGAGCATGCATCGACCTAACATTTTACATGTTTGCATGATTTAAATATCGTGGTTCATTCCACCTAGCGTCTATGTCAAAGGTGAGACTCAGGGAGTATCATAAGCTGCCTAAGATCATTTCTAGCATAAAACACATTATTCATGCAATTCAAACAACATAGGAGCATGTTATACAAACGACAAAATATAGATTCTCAAAGTCATCAACTTGAAATCTAAAATGTGTAAATAACTAAATATAACCATTTAGCATAAATTGGAGTTTCTAGTACCACACGTCAAGACATAGATCCTCAAAGTAATCAACTTAAAATCTAAAAGTGTGTAAATGACTAAAGTGGGTCATGCCATCTAACGTCTATGTTCTAAATGAATCTATAGGATCATTCCTAAATCACAATTGAACAATAAGACACAAATCACAATATCTATGCAATTTAACCAACATAGATGCATGTTATACAAAGTAACTAGATATAGATTCTCAAAGTTATCAACTTGAAATCTAAAATACGGAATCAACTAAATATAGCAATTTAGTATAATTAGAATTTCTAATACCATACATCAAGATATAGATTCTCTAGGTTAACAACTAGAAATCAAATAGTGGAATACTTGGACATCTAAGCTCGAAATTCTGCCGAGACCTCAACGGCTATTACAGGGACTAACTCGCTGGTAATACCACCCCTAGTGTGCACTATCCCGACAGGGAGAACTCATACCTTCCGCACTAGAGCCAAACTCTAGCCATGTTATAGTAACCATGTCCCAAGTGATTCCAAAATAAATAAGTTAACAACTTATATACGAAAAATATATATATAGCACGAAACTACATTCCATGCATAAGTAGGTCGAAACCACACAATACATGCTTTAAATCCACAACTACTATAGGATGACAATGTCGAATCTTCAGAGCGCGATTCGTTACGCGTTATAATACCATCACATGTCGAATCTTTAGTGTACGATTCGTTACACGCTATAACAATATAATTCAATATTGAAACATAATCGCATAAATCCATTACAAGTCTAAAAGCATGCTTCAAACATAATATCAACGTTAAACGCATGATTTAATCAATAATGCAATAGAAACATAAATTAATTATATAACCTAATTAATTTCTCTAAGTTTCATATCTCAATCAAATGAACCCTAATTAACATATGTTAAACAATATAACTTATTCATTACATGAATCAAATCAAAATCTTACTTAGGTCATTGGATCAATAGGACTGAATTTAATTAAAACATGATAATTAAATCCCTAAATTCTAAAACAACATCAAATGGTCCCAAATTAATATATGCTAGTATACAAGCACTAGTCATCACTAATATCAAATTAAAAACTTAATTAGGACAATGGAACCATTAAATGGATTTTAATTAATTAAAATTTCTAGATTTTTATACTTATCCAAATACTCTCAAATTAGAGTATGTTAAGGAACTTGCCAAGACTTAATTTAAAAGCATGTTACAACTAAATTTCATGCAAGGTACGGCCATAGGAATTAATCTTTCACAAAAGAAAAATATTAAATAAAAAAACGCAATTCTTATTTAAATAATCCCAATTTAATATATGTTAACAAGCATATTAAAACTAAACTTTCTAGCATGCCACAATTTAAATCTAAGTTATACATCATCATGTGAATTAAATCCTAACCATAGAAATTAATTAAATTAAATTCTAGGACTTGAATAAAAGCATGCATACAAGTTATATAATCATGGAAAACACTCCATACAACACATATAAAATTCTAAAACATCCCCTACCTCAATTTGAGATGAAATTCTCAAAAGCCCACCGAAATAAAAGTGTTCTGAATCCGACGATACCGAAGAGTTTTGTCAGGGACAACACAATGAACAAGAATCCGAAGGAAGCCTCATGAAAATCACAACTTGATTTCAAATCCAAACTCGAAAAATGGTCAAAAATGAGTTCTAATAAGGGTGAAAGGTAGAGCACGACGAGGGGAACAACAAACGTTAAGGCCAAAAACTTTTCACTTAGGAAATCAAGTGGAGGAGAAGAAGAAAAGGTGGAAGCCCAAGGAGCTCCCATGGCTGCCGGCCAAGATGGGGAGGAAGATGATCAAAATCTGACTTTTCTTCTTTAAGTCCCCTATTTATAGAAAATCTCAAAAAGTGCCCCGAAAGGGCCCCGCCGGGTCCAAAAAAGTGGATTTTGAGCATACGCGCTCAAACGGTGAAACTCCGTGAACAAAAAAGATTCAAAATGAGAAAACATGAATAACGGAAAAAACGGCGTCGAAAACCAAGTCCCGAGCAGAGAGATATGCCCCGAATAAGTTCAGCGGCAACCAGGGTCAGAAACTCTGAAACTGGAGAAAAACAACCAGAATGGAATTCTAAGAGTACACGATTTGATAAAATGTGAAAATAAATCCCGTACGAGGATCCAGGCTCCAGATGAGGTATTTTTGCAATAACTTTAGTTAATTGCACAATGGCCCCTCCAAAAAGTGAAAACTGCATTAATGCCCCAGAATGAAAATATCTTCCAAAAATATTTTCTTAAAAACCCCTAAAATAAAATATCTTCAAAAGATATTTACTAAAAACACCCCAAGAAAAGAAAAAGATTCTGAAAAACTATGCATCCATGCCCCTATGGACACCGGGAGCAACCAGAGTACTTTCTTACAAAAGTAAAGATACGTATTTCGTGGAAACCACTTAGAATGAAGATATGTGAAGTCAAAAACCAACTCCGAACATAAGAAGTGAGGTTATGCCAACAAAGTAACAAACGGAGAAAGGACAAAATAGGGAAAAGGACGAAAAGTGAATAGTGTCAAAAACCGAAAAATGTGGAAATGACTCGGTCCTCAAAGGAAGTTGTCAATCTAAAGAAAAAAGTCTCGGAAATCATTCCAGAGCGCTCGAGACGACACTAAGCGACGAGAAACTGAACTCAGAAAGAAAAAGACCAACGAAAAAAAAAAAATGTCCGTAAAAATCTAAGAAAATGAAAGGAAGGAAAAAGACTGGGTCATTACATGACCAGACTGATGGCACTGATAGCACACTACCTATCCTAGAGAAGGCCTCCCTACCATAAAAGTTAATGGTGCTGACTATATATGTTGCTGCCCTTGGGAATATGAAGTATCCTTCTTCTGCCTCTTCATAGAGCAACTTCCCAACTGTGAGCTAGAAGCCATAGACTGATACCTGGACTCCAGAATTCTATTGGTGTCTCGCAAGCTTTCCTTAACTAGCATAACCCTCTGAACTAATGTCGAATAATTACGCAGCTCCTGTAGTATAATCATATCCCTGATACCAAGCCTGAGTCCCTTTTTAAATCGCTTGCACTTATACTCTTCTGTAGCAATCACTTCTGGTGCAAATCGTGATAGTCTCGTGAAACTCGCCTCATACTGGTTCACTGTCATATTACTCTGTATCAGAAACATAAACTCATCCCTTTTTGCGTCCCTTGCAACTTCTGGAAAATATTTGTCAAGGAAAAACTTAGTGAAGGTACCCCACTCCATAACCTCAACATTGTGCATGTTCTTAATTGTCTTCCACCACTGAGCAGCATCACCAGTGAATTGGAAAGAAGCAAAAGAGACCCTCAACTCATTCTTATGCACCCTGATAATATCTAAGATCTTTATGACTTGCTTCATCCAATCCTCTACCACCATTGGATCGGGCTCACCACGAAATTCAGGCGGATCCATTCGTTAAAACTCCCTTATAGCAGTGATGGCTCTAGACCCAGATCCACTAGTTTGGGGTTGAGTCCCACCATATGAGGTCATCATCAACTGTTGCATGGCCTCAGCTATTTGCTTGGCAAACTGAGCCCCATCCATGGGTATCTGTTGTGCCTGAACTTGCTGCACTTGAACCTGTGGTGTCGAAGTTGTGGGTACAGATGGTGTCAGAGTTGGAGGTACCAATGGGGTTGAAGTTTTAGGCACCGATGTTGTCCGTTCTGTGGCCACTTGCTTTCCTTTCCCCCTTTCTCTGTGTACTTGTCTTTTTACGTGGTGCCATTGTTCTATAAGGTTACAAGGAAGGATTTAATCATAGTAGAATAATATCAAGTTTAACACTTAGCACATAGTACATTGCTCATATTTCACATAACAAGTACTACAGTTCACAAAACAAAACAAAATAAAACAAATAAATAAACAAAAATAAAATAACAAGTTAAACGCATAATTTCAAGTCATCATGTAGATTGAACATTCACCAATTGTCCTAAGGTTTTCGTACCTAAAGCTCTGATACCACGTTGTCATGCCCCGGATTCCAAAATCCGAATTTTGATTAAAGGAAAAGAAATTAAAATATATAATTAACAAAAAAAAAATGACTTATTATTTAATTGTCATTATTATTATTATTATTTTACGAGGAATGTTCTAAATTTCGAGGACGAAATTTCATTTTTAGGTGGGGAGGATGTAGAGATCCAGGAAAAAAAATGTTATTATTATTTAATTGTCATTATTATTATTATTATTATTATTATTTTATGTTTAAGGGTATTTATATGATGATGCTTGGTATTGGGTGGAACTAAAATAATAATAATATTATTATTATTATTAGTTGGGTGTACGTGGCTTGGGACCAAGGCTATTAGTTATGTATTTGAGATGTTCAGTTTTAGCCAGAGTAATATGATTACTCTTTGGAACATGAATAATAATATTTTATTATATGAGTGATATAAGGACATGGATACTAGTGTTTAGGTTTAGTATTGACCTTTAATATATATCAGTATATAGGTCATTCATTCTTTTAATTGGTTGGGCTTACTTACGTGAGTACACAAAGTACCTCCTTCAAAGAGAGAGCAAGATATATATATATATATACTAAATAACTAATAATAATAATAATAATATAAATATAAATAAAAAAAGAAAAGAAAAGAGAAGGCCTGAGGTTGAAGCCGTGAGAACCGACCACAACAGAAGGTGAGAAACAAAAAGAACCCTAGCCGCTTTCTTCAATTTTTCTTTCTTTAAAGGACAAATTGGTGGAATTTTCTTAGTAGGTCAAGAACGAACAGTGTTCCTGTCAACCTTCTCTACGCATCTACATAATTAATCTTGATAATTTCGAATTTAGCGTTAAGGTAGGGGTTCTCTAAACTTTTTCATTATTGATGAAATCTTTTGATAATTAGGTATACACTATTATTATTAATATATATATATATATATATATATATATATATATAAAATACTATGCTCTATTTGTTTTTTTTTTTTTTTTTTATATTTGCATTGGTTTGTGTTGGATGTTTAAACGAAATTGTTGAAGTTGTGAAGACAGGGTGTTTGGTAAATTGTCACAAATATGAGAAAATTATTGCTTTGGTTAAATTTGTTTAAACATGATTTTATTTTGGAGGAATTGATTAAAGGATGAAAATTTGGAAGATTTTGACGATGAATTTTTGTAACATTGTGGGATTGGTGAATTGAGTTTGGAAAGCAAGGTAGGGCTCGGTGGCCTTGGGTGAAAAACCCGAAACCTGATCAGGGAAAATAACTAGAGGATTCTCATGTCCTTCGGGGTAGTGACCCGTAAAGCGTCGGAATTGCTTGAGATGTGTGCTGTTGAGTGGTTATGATATTTGGTTAAATCATTAAATTAATTATTTACTGGTTATTGTAACATACATGACATGATTCACTTTGCCATGCTCATTCAATTTATTATTTATTCCATCCCCTTTTTGCCATGCTCATTCAATTTATTATTTATTCCATCCCCTTTTGTGTGCCTACTTGTTAATTGATTTTGTTAATAATTAATTAGTTTAGCGTTCTTCTACTGGGCTTTGCTCACCCCCAACAATTTTGCAGATGAAAGAAACACTACTGGAAATAATTAGCTGACTTGGAAAAGACCACATCTACGTGACTTGTTTTGGAGAAACAATATTTATTTGATTATTTTTTTTAGTTGGACACAAATTGATAATGTCACTTCTAATTTAGCATAGTTGCCTAAGATTTTAATTGTGCCAAAATTGTCTATTTTAATCCTATGATTCAAGGATGGGGTTGGATTTGTTATTTAAGTTAATTTTTTTTTTTTTTATTACTTGTTGGGTCTAATATTATGATTTTCAGAGATTTTAATAAATTAAATTGAGTACTTCAGTTTAGTATCAGTTTTTTTTTTTTTTTTTTTATGTATAGGTTATGTAAACAAACTTTATTTGTCATCTTGTGCATCCTTTATTGTATACAAATTACAACTATTTACACATTTTTATAATATGATTGGAGGGTGGTTGATACCATGTGGCAGGTTGTCAGAATGTGTCTAAAGGAGTTGTGAAACTAAGCTGTACAGTTGAGCTCAGGAAACATGCTACACTGCACACACATACACGTTGCCTTGTTGGTAAAAGAGAAAACTATTGACTAAAAATTTGGGATAATTACACTTGCCTCCCTTGAGATTAGGCGTAATTACAAGCAGTACCCCTAACGTTTCAAAAATATCACTTACCTCCCTTCAATGTGATCGCTGGTAGGTTGTGTTAGAAAACTATGTAAATGTACTAATATACCCCCATTATTATATTAATATTAATAACTTGTTATTAAATTACTCTTTTACCCTAACAACTTTTTTATTTAAAATTTATTTTTTTTTTCCTCATGTTTGGAGCCCTAAATCTAGAGAGCCACCATCTTCACCACCACCATAACGGCCACAGCTACCGCCTCCGCCATTCCTAACTCCACCACAACCACCACCATAGCTCGGGTACTGGGCTTTGTGAGCCGTACAACATCAAGCACAACATGAGGCAATAATCAGTCAAGTCTCGTAACTGAACATCAATCTCCAGCTTAAACTTCACCGGTCTGAGTATGAACATCCGCCACCTCGACTTCGCCGACATGGGCACGATCGCCGTAATATTCACCAGCAAATGTTCACACCTGGTGAAACTCTTGCTCGGATGCAAATCCGAATTCAGAAACCCCAGCAAGTTGGACCGGTTCTCGTCGGTGAAGTGGTTCGAATCACCGATCAACCAAAAGCTGCGAGACTTGTTAAACAATGATGATTCGACGACGCTGAAGTAGTCGCGCTTTTGGTACTCATTGTGTTTGTCTTAGTCGTCGTCATAGGGGATGATGTTTCTATAGAAGACGATATTGTTGTCGATTGGGCTGATTACGAAGTTTAGATTGGTGAAGAACTTGAATAGGTCTTGATCTAAGGAGGTTTTTGGATTGTGGTGGTGATTAGAATGATTTTTTTTGAAATCATTCATCGGGAGGTTGCAGAGAGGGAGAGAGGATGTTTTATACTCCTTCGGAGTCCATGGGTACTGATTCAACCCATATGGTAGTGAGGTCGCCAATGATCGGCTCAATCAGGGGTTGCGCTCGCGCTAGAATTCTAATTTCAAAGAGGAACTCCAGCGAAGGATTATTATGTATGCCTCAATACCTCCGTCAAGCCATCACTAACGCCATTCAATTAAAGACATCAATGCCAATAATCGCCACTACCCCTATCGCCGCCACCACTGTGCCTTCCTAAGCTCCTGAGTCTCCATATTCATGTTATTTGAACCCTTGAGGCTCTATAATAATAAGTTTTAGAGAAAGAAAATGTATACACAGGAGAATCAAATGTGATATTTGAGAGTGTATGAGGGTGGAAATGTCTTTGCAATTATAATAAGGGTAAATATGGTACTTCATGCTCAAAATTTGCTGACATAATCAAAAATCTTTATTGACCGGCATTGACCATCACCGGAAGGGGCTAAGTGTTACAATAGAGCAAACCTTAAGGGAGGATGGTGTAATTTTTAAAACATAAGGGGTACCGTCTATAATTACGCCTAACCTCAAGGGAGGTAAGTGTAAATATCCCCTAAAAATTTCATTAGTTGCTTAAACTTTAAATAATAAAGTTTTTTTTTTCAAATTTCAGATGGAGAGTTTTTTATTGGTATGTATCTTCAAGTTGGGTTAACTTCATGAATTGTTCTAGAATCAAAACCGAAACACTGCTAGTTAATAAAATATAACGACTTCAAAAAAAAAAAAAAAAAGGAAGAATGGTGGTTCTAATTAAAGGATGTGTTTGTTAATTTTATATTTTAATTTCTTTTCCTTTAATCAAAATTTGGATGTTTTGCCACAAAATTAAATTCTTGTGGCTAGATATTGGTATTTGCCACGGAGTAAATTTTTCGTGGCAAATACTAGGTTTTTACCACGGATATTAAGTACAATCTAAAAATTTGTGACAAACTATCAATTTTGCCATGACAAATTAGGGACGACATGCAAAGTTGTGACAAAATGCTTCTGTTTGTCTCCCTGTCTGTGTGTTTTTCTGTCCCTGAAATGTGTAGGGTGGCTTTATATTTATATGCCAAAGAATAAGTCGTTTAATTTGGAAACTCTCCAATAATTGTGCGATTTTTCCATAAATAAGGGATTTGTTTCCTTTTATATGGAAATCAATTCAAATTCGAATTTGAATTAAACCACCATTTTCTTTAAAGACCTAAACCTTTAAGATTTTAGCACGTGTCCATTTATGGGACCCGTAATCATGGAATTTAATTAATCAAGAATATTTAACTTATTGACTAATTGGACGCTGATTAGACTATCACAAATTTTAGGCACCTACGAATTACCCCCACTTCAAAACTTGACAATAT